GATACAAAAAGATTTCCCAAGCTTTAAACCTCTCAAGGAGCACTGTGCAAGCAAATATATTGAAATGGAAGGAGTATCAGACCACTGCAAATCTACCAAGACCCGGCCGTCCCTCCAAACTTTCATTTCAAACAAAGAGAAGACTGATCAGAGATGCAGCCAAGAGGCCCATGATCGCTCTGGATGAACTGCAGATAACTACAGCTGAGGTGGGAGAGTCTGTCCATAGGACAACAATCAGTCGTGCACTGCACAAATCTGGCCTTTATGGAAGAGTGGCCATTTCTCAAAGATATCCATAAAAAGTCTCTTAAAGTTTGCCACAAGCCACCTGGGAGACACACCAAACATGTGGAAGAAGGTGCTCTGGTCAGATGAAACCAAAATCAAACTTTTTGGCCACAATGCAAAACGATATGTTTGGCGTAAAAGCAACACAGCTCATCACCATGAACACACCATCCCCACCTCAGCTGTAGTTATCTGCAGTTCATCCAGAGCGATCATGGGCCTCTTGGCTGCATCTTTGATCAGTCTTCTCCTTGTTTGAGATGAAAGTTTGGAGGGACGGCCAGGTCTTGGTAGATTTGCAGTGGTCTGATACTCCTTCCATTTCAATATAATTGCTTGCACAGTGCTCCTTGAAATGTTTAAAGCTTGGGAAATCTGCCTGGTGTGTTCCTTTGTCTTCATGGTTCTCTCTGCGCTTTAAACAGAACCCTGAGACTATCAAAGAGCAGGTGCATTTATACGGAGACTTGATTACACACAGGTGCATTCTATTTATCATCATCAGTCATTTAGGACAACATTGGATCATTCAAAGATCCTCACTAAACTTCTGGACTGAGTTTGCTGCACTGAAAGTAAAGGGGCCGAATAATATTGCACGCCCCACTTTTCAGTTTTTTATTTGTTAAAAAAGTTTAAATTATCCAACAAATTTGATTCCACTTCACAATTGTGTCCCACTTGTTGATTCATGACAAAAAATTAACATTTTATATCTTTATGTTTGAAGCCTGAAATGTGGCAAAATGTTGAAAGGTTCAAGGGGACCGAATACTTTCGCAAGGCACTGTATATATAAAAAATCATGTATAGTGATTTCTAGCTCGTAGTGTGAAAAAAACTATTTATTTGAATTTCTAATGAAAAAGGTAAAATGAACTGAACTTTGAACTAGTTCAGAATTAAAATTGTGAACTTTGAACGTGAACGGTTCACTTTGAGCATGTATGAACTGAACTTGAACTAGTTGAAAAAAAGCTGTGAACTGGCACAACACTGATAAATAGCTAGCCGAGCTGGTCCATATAGTGTAGCTTCGGTCAATAAACACAAATAACAATCAACACATTTAAATGTTAATGGGATGATACATTAGACATGTACATTCCTAATACACATGCTCCTTATTATGCTAAAGTCAGGGTTTTTTTGTACTTAAGTCTTGCTTCTTCACTGTGCTAAAGTTGGATATTTTAGACGTCTTTCCTTATTGTACTTATTATAGAGATTTTATACTGCTTATTTTAGAAATTTTACCGTATCGAGTTGAAATTACTAACACAAAAAAGTTTGTTTCTATCTCTAACTTTTACATGCATCTAGTTTTGGACTCTGTCACTATTTAATTGAGCTTTTTTAGACAAACGTGGAAAAGAGAGGACCGCCCTTTCTTGGCCAATCAGCTCTCAGCCCAAAATAGATTCACAGGGCTGCAGTGTGCAAAAGATAACACGTTTTCGAAAAAGGTATAGACCGCAAACTCTTTCTGTTCGGACAAACAATATAGATTATGTTGAGAAAAAAACTAAACTAAGTGCCCCAGCTTTAATGTAACAGCAAACTGATATATGCACACATGGATAGAAAGAAACCACTAAAACTCAAATGTTTGTTACACCCAGAATTGAAAGGTAATTAATGACTCCCACTTTTTAACTGTATTGTATGTGTTACTCTATGACAAACAATCAAACTCACAAAATCAAGTTCTTTAAATAAATATTTTATTTGAAAATAAATACATTTTCTTAAAATAGAATCAATAACATTACAAAAGCTTTGGGGATGGGGGGATGGGGGGACAGACAGGTTTCTAAATGAACAGTGTCAGGGGCCAGGTTCACACTTGCATGTACCATAAACAGGCCGGGCAATATGGCAGACATTCTATACCACTTTCACTGCAAAAAGTGAAGAAAGAAAAAAAGACATGAATTGCTCCAATTTGATCAAATTTGAGCACACATTAAAACAAGATTTGCCAATGGGAAAAGCTAAATCATCTTGTTTTAAAAAGATGCAAGAAATGTTTCAGATGAAAAATAAAGCGACAGTTCTTGAAATAAGTCCAATTGGCTTTTTCCCATTGGCACATATTGTTTTAAGACAGTCAGAATGTACTCAAACCACTTTATTCAAGATTTAATTTCCTCATATCACAGATCATTTTGTGTTTATTTATTTGACAGGACATAGCTAATAGTTAATTTTCCTTTGTAGTCTCTGGACAAAGGCAAGAGCATTTTTATTATGTTAATGTCAACTCAGTATATCTTGATAAAAAGTAGTAAATAGTCTTCTGTTTTTTCAGAAAGTTAAGACTTGAGAGCAGTAGGATGAGACATTTTAAAAAGTGTTGCCAAAAACCACATGACCATTTCATCTGATAACAAATCAGATGGTGATTGGATTGCTAGTGCCATATTGCCCGGCTAAAAAAAAGACTAAACCTGGATTTTACTCAAGAACGAAAGCAGGATGTGAACTGGGTTATAGAACGTGACCAGAGCAAGTCCAGGCCAGGTCTAAACAAGTGTGAACATGGTCAAGATAGGGACCAAGAGTACAATCGGACATGTGCAGCCACCTTTTTAGACAGTACCATCAGTGTAATGGACATTCTGGGCTGTGGGACAGTGGGACAGCCTTCTCTCACTGGACATAAGGACAGCAGGACTTAGAGCTTCACTCATACTCATGTTCACGGCAGAAACAAAAGATATATTCTCTGTCAACACGTCAAAATCAGCCACTGGTACATGTACACCTGACAGAGTATCTTAAATGTGTCTAGATCAACGTCACTTCTAGTCTACAGTACAAAGATACAATACACAAGAAGGCTTATTGATATAGCAGTAATGAGAGGCCACAGTTATAAGGCCGGTGGTGGAGAAGCTGGCGGCAGCTCACTGGCACTTTCCCTCTCCAGCGATCACTAGTCATTTGGCCGTTGTTTGGAGAGCCTGACGATGGCAGATCTCCAGCGAGACAGGGGCAGATTAGCACAGTGCAGTGGAGCGCCTCTGACCCTCCAACTGCAGCACAAAACTGCAGAACAAGTCCTCCTGCAGCAACCTCCGCAAAAACCTCATTACCAAATGCAGTCAAAAAGCACTGCAACGCGCCTGTCTGGTTTATAATTATTGAGTCGTTGGAGAATGTGCAAGCCGACCTCAATTAAGACAAGCGTGTGAGAACATGTAATTTAAATCTAATCAGTAGAAAAGCAGCAGTGTAAGCTAATCTATGGCAAAACAACAACTTTGCACGCTTTGTGCTTCTCGCCCAGTGCTCAGGCCTAATGGAATCAATGCCACAGGTGGCGGCTTTAAACAATGATTAAACTAATGGGAAAGCGCTGCATCCACAATGTGGACTGGCTAAACTCCCTATTCTGAACTATCTCCTCAGTACACCGGCGAACTGTGTAGGAGGAAACACAGGCTCAACGACAATGTTCTTGTTTCCCTTGTTAAGCCTCAGCTAAAGCTGCGTCCTCACCAATGCTTTGTATTATGTTGCTTCATTTCTAATTCTGTAATTTTAGCACTTGTGTTTTTAGCATAAGACCTTTCATAAATAGTTACAGGAATGTCTACACCAAAGTTGACAATGTCAGCTTTTGTTTTACAAGTCAGAATGAGACTGGAATGATGCTTTTCATACTACAATCACTTTTATTCATTCAATAAATAACAAACAGCAGATGATCAGCATGGGATAAGTCATCACATGTACCCATACAGTACAAGGGCCATTTTATCCCCTCTGTTGTGTTTTCCAAACAGCTAGTCCATGCTGATATTCATTTAAGGCTGTAAGCACAAAATGCACTCCTTCTACAAAGATGTTCTATGGTTTTAAACATTGTGCACTTTCTAAGTTCAAGTGCCCCTGATAATAAAGGCAGTAAAATCAGAGACTGAATAAGGCAACAACATTACTGGTGAAAACAGAAAGCATTAGTGTGGACGTTGGCTTATATTTCTTTATAGCTCCAAACCCGCTGAAAAAAGGCATTCTGCAAGTCGCCGCTGTACTTGAACGCTTTGCTAAATCCCACACTGCGCTGTTCCAGTTAATTAGTAGGGAGCAGATGTGGTACAGTAGATGAAGGCAGGTAAATGACATTGAACGCTAAATCATCAACACCTCACCCCCTGACGAGAAACCCTGTCACCCAGGAATGCTGCACACCTCTCTCCAAGGAAGTCTCTCCCTTTTTAAGAATTTCATCAGTTTTTTTGTTGAAGAACCAGCCTCCAATACACACATTTCAGAAAAAAAACACACCTCTTTGTAGAAACAGATTCTGTGGGCTACCTTTTTTGTTATAAATCAATCCATATAAATTCTGCTACTTGGTGACTAAAATACATTTCGATACACCTCGAAATCAAGTAAGTCATTTGGGTTGATTTTCCCGTTTGTCCTTTCGAGCTTGCCCTAAGCTTTGGCAAATGAGGCATGCCGCTAAAGCCCCCTGGTCGTCTGCTTTCACGGTTTGGCAAGTAAAAGCATGGCACAAGGTCAGCTCGGTGGAATCTTTGTGCACCCGCTTTTCCTTGTACCCAAAAGACAGTCATATATGGAGACACAAAACACCCAAAACATCACAAGGGGATTGTCTCATCTCGCTGTGCTACTACAGTCCATCTTTGGAAGGTCACAACCAGCCGTCCAAAACGTCCCATCAAAACGCCGCTTCAACAGCTAACCGTGCTGGGCTGCTGCTTGCAAACAAAGTCCGAAAAGAAGTCGAATTCGTTCTGTCCGAGGAAAAGCTCCGGTAACTCCTGGACGCGATCCAAACCCAGTTCGAGAACCAAAGACGTCAACACCTCTTCGTCGATCAAGTCCATGTCTGTGCCATTGAACCCCATATTCCCGCCAATGTGTTGGATCCCGGGAAGCTGGTTGTGCCCCATGCGGTATTGAGCGCCATTGGGGTGGTGGTGTCCATTAACCGGGTTGAGTGGGTGTCCGTGGTATTGGGTGTTAAGTTTCTGAAGGTGCATGCTCGCCATAAGCTGTTGGGAGGTAAGATTCCCTTGGTGGTACTGCTGTTGGGGTCCTCCCTGCTGCTGCTGCTGCTGTTGCTGCTGTTGTTGGACTTGTGGGTGCATGTGATGAGGGTGCTGGGGTGGTCCTTGGTTGCTGTACATCATATTCCCCGACATCATCTGGTGGTGGGGGTGGTGGTTCGCCATGGGGCCGCCCATACCTCCGGGTGCCATCATGCCCTGTCTCTGACGCATAGCCGCCTCCATGGTGTTCTGGGGACCCCGGTAGTGCATCATCTGGCCGTTGGGGAGGTTGCGCATGCCGGGCTGTGCGCTGTGCTGGGGGGGACCACTCATGCCCATGCGGAAGCCGTGGGACATGGGCATCATCATGTGGTCAGCCATGGCTGTAATTGCAAAGAAGAGTGGGTTAGCAGAAGGCCACAAACTAGAGCAGATAAACATAGAGATGAAACATGAGATTCTGAATCACACAGAGCTGGCGTCAAACAGACTTTTCCCTGCATTTTTATGACATGTATTTACTGTGTTTACATGTATATCTGTTATGGGTTTTAGATAGATCATTTATTGATTGAAATGCAGGTATCCAGTAGCAGAAACACATCCATCCATACAAACATACATTTATAGTCCTCACACGCTACTAAAACCTGAGGGTGCCATATTTTGTCTGTTTCTGAAATTTCTGAAAAAACTCCTCAAGGGTAAACAATTGATTGAATTAGGCTTCAAATAGTGATCAACTGAAATGTTCATTTATGTTCTGATTTATTGAGTGAGACTGTTTTGAAGGTCTCCACTTTGTTTTGTATAAGATTTAACAAAAGCAAGAGTCTGTATTTTTCTAGACATGGCTCGATACCTGCACGATACAATGGAAAGGTTAAAAAAAGCATGGCACGCTCTGAAAGACCAAGTTAATGATATTTAGTAGCTCTTAGTTTCATTGTAGAAGTTTGTTGTGAATTTAACAAACCAATAGCAATTATTTTGTGCTCAACCAAAATATCTAAGTGTATAGAAGATTTACATAACAAGAATACATTGTGACTTGAAGACTTTGATGTGGCCATTAAAGAAACACTCTTTAATTATAATCTCAAGTGACTGTGTGTTCTCTAAAGAAACGTTTGGAATATTTAAACTTTATTGTCCAGTGGTAAAAAAATTTTCAACTAAGCCAACATTAGATTCAGACAAAAAGGTTTCGGAAAAAAGTATTTATGTAGAGAACATGATATGGCAGGTACAGGAGGGGGATACTAACTTTTTTTCATCCCGCACCCTATGGATCAATGGCTTCTATGTGTTTGTTATTTTTTACATTTCTTGTGTTCAAACTGTCTGATTCTATGATCTGTTGTTGGCAAATCAACAACTGTGTACAGTCCTCTGAGGCAACTGCTGTTTCTATTCAAAAATATGTATAGATCCACAAATAAATGAACTCGTCATATTAAGAAGTTACTAATGTTTTCTTTAATATGGTAGTCCAGACTTCAATGTTCCATCTTTATGACCAACATTGCCAAAGAACCAGTTGTTATGCAAAGTCAAAATCTGATTATTTATTCTCCCATACTACATGTAAAAGCAAAGCAAAGTTCTATCCAAAACCAAACAAAGAATGTCCCCCTAATCCATTGAACGTAACCACCTCTGCTGTTTTAACATTGGTCCATGAACAGAAACCAGGCTGATATCGGAGTCAATAGAAGACACATTTCTCTGAACCCTCCCCCCCTCCTCTTCAGACAAGAGAAGAATCCTTGTTGACCACTGGATCCACACCATCCTCCACTGTTTATGGCATTACCTCACAGCTGACTACTGCACCCCAGGCTGCACTTCTGAGGACCTGTGCCTACACTTCAAAAACCCCCAATGACATCAACAATACCAACAGATTTTTTTCCCCCATGAAGCTTTTAGTTGTAAAGAGAAGTATATTTGTATTATTTTTGTTGCAATGTTGTCATACTCTTGCAAACCAATAACAAGGAAAGATGAATTGTGAAGAAATGGCACATTACATGAGTCGCATACAACTGTGCAATACAAATACACTTGCCTTGCCTAACATATCATTGCTAAATTGACCTTAGAACTAGTCTTGTCGCACTACTCTCAAATCTTTGCTGAAATGCCTAATACAGGCATGTTAAAACAGCTATCACAGCTATCACAGATCTCAATAGATTATAACACGACCAACAAAAGTGCCTAGCCATAACTACCTTTCTTTAAAACTACATGCAACGTGTTTTTTTTTTTTTTTTGGGAGAATCCATATGTGAACAATCAGCACATAACAATTGGGATTTAGGACTAAAGCAGGACCAAACCAACTGACGATATCTTACAAGCCTTTTTTCATCCTAATACTTCTGACAGACCTGAACTGCCCACACAACCTTCCATTGTATGTGGAAT